TAGACAGATACACAGACCCAGCCATACATACATACATGAAGAGACACACACAGACACAGATGCATAGGCCTAGCCATATGCATGGATGCATGCAGACACACAAAAGAGACACACATATGTATGCACATGCATGCACAGACACCAGACATGCATGCACAGCCACACACATACATGCAGACACACTCGAGACACACATGCACACCCGGACACAAATGCATGGACTTAGCCACATATATGCATGTACACATGTGGACACATGCACAGACCCAGCCACATGTATGCATGGAGACACATGCACAACACACACACACACATATGCTCACATGTAGACAACACAAACCCAGCCACACAAACATGCATGCTTGCATATAAATGCACACAGACATGTGGACACATACAACACACATGCACACACACACAATACCTACAGACACAGATGCACTGACATGCAGACCCACACGAATCCAACCTCACACACACACATGTGCAGATGCAGACCAGACACACAAAGCATCCACCATACACAGGGGACCCCAGCCCAAACAACTGGACCCAGGACAAAGAGGGAGGGTTGGCTGTGCACAGTGGCCTGTCCAGCCAGTCCACCCACCAACGACTTCTCTCCTCAGCAGCCTGGCCCCCGCCTGCCCGCCGCCTGCACCCGGATTGAATTCAGCTATGGTTTCATTGCTGTCACTCAGAAGAATGGTCTCATTCAGGCCACCTGCTCCCTGGCTGGACAGCTCACATCCCTCTCCTGCCTGGGCTCAGAGGCCCAATCCCCCGACTACCCTGCCTTCCAGAGGCCTGTCCCTCCAGGCAGAGCAATCCAGTGTGGCTTCCCCCGGCAGTGGCCAGAGGCTGAGGGCCAGGGACCGGCACCAGGAAGTCCCCACTGGCCTCTTAGTAAGAGCTGTGGCCATGGGTCTGGAAAGGAAGCCTGGACTATTCCCATCAGGGAGATAATCCCACATTCCTCAGTGGGCAGCCCCTCCCTCCCCGGTGCTGTGGTGGGCGTGGACCTGGATGTCTGGGAGGGCACAGACCAGACACAAGGTGGCAGAAGAGGGACAGGCAGGGTCTGGAGGGGCCAGTGAGGGGTTGCCAGCAGGGCATGTTGCAGCAGTGGGGGACCCACGATGTGGGCTCAGAAGGGTGATGGAGATGAAGGGAAAGTGAGGACTCTGGGCTGGGAACTGGCTCTGAGTCAGGGAGATGAGGGGCTGTGCCCAGAAGACCCCCAGATGCAGGGCTAGGGGATGATGAGGCTCTGCTGGGGACCCAGCACTACGAGAGTGAGAGGCCTCCTTCAGCTAGAGGCTGTGGGCAGGAGTGGGATGGAGCTAGGCGTCTGAGAAGACAGGGCTGGACAGGGCTTCCTATGGCACCCCACGCTCTCCAGCCTGGACACGGGAAGCACAGAGACCAGAGACAGCTGGGGCCATACACGCAGCCTGGAGATGCCTGCCCAACAAAGGTGCCCAATGTGACTGGGAGACAGGGCTTCTCCCCCGGAGTTCCTTCTTAGGTCCTCTTCCTCCCAACGGTCCTCCTCTTCCCCAGATCCTCCTCCCCAGGGTCCTCCTCCTCCTTCCCAGGGCCTTCCTTCTCCCCAGGTCCTCCACTTCCTCAGCGCGTTCTTCTCAGGTCCTCCTTCTTCCCAGAGTTCTCCTCCTCCCCAAGGCCCTTCTCTTCCCCAGGGTTTCCCTCCCCAGGGCCCTCATCTTTCTCAGGGTCCTCTTCCTCCCCAAGTCCTCTTCCGCAGGGCCCTCCTCTTCCTCAGGGTCCTCTTCCTCCCCAGGGCCCTCCTCTTCCACAGGGTCCTCCTCCTCCCCAAGTCCTCTTCCCCAGGACCCTTCTCCTCCCCAGGTCCTCCTCTTCTCCAGGCCATCCTCCCCAGGGTCCTCCTCCTTCTCAGGGTGCTCCTTCTTCCAAGGGCCCTCCTCCCCAGAGTCCTCCTCCTCCCCAGGGTCCTCCTCCTCCCCAGGGTCCTCCTCTGTGCATACCCCTTCTCCCCAAAACCTCCCCCTTCCTCCTTCTCCCTGGTCCTTCCTCCTCCTCCCTGGTCCCACCTCCCAATTTCTCCTCCTTCCCAGGCACACCTCCCCGAGTCCACCTCCTCTCCAATCCTCCTTTCTTGTCCTCCTCCTCCCAGAGGCCGACTCCTAGGCCTCCTCCTAAGGCCCTCCTCCTCGTCCCAGGCCTACAGAAGCCCCTGTGAAGGCAGCAGACTGAGATGAGGCTATAATTTAAAATACATTTATTTAGTGTTTCCCATTTGTTTCTGGTTCTGTGACACAAAGCTGTTAAATAAATACATTCTCCACAGTCCCTCTGGGACAGGCCACACAGATGAGGTAGAGAAATCATTGCACGCACGGAGACTCAGAGCACAGACAGGGCCCCTCCCACCCACCCACGCCTGGCCAGAAGCCACCTGGGGGTCCAGGTCCCTTGTGGTGGGGCCCGGTGCGGAGAAGGTGGCTGGGATCCCTTGGCCAAGGAGCGGGCTGAACCCCTCCCAACAGCCCTTTCTCCTCTACTGCCCCTCGGAAGAGAAGCGCATGAAACAGGAGGCTCCGGCTGAGCGGCCTCTTCATCCAGCAAGACATTCGAATATATATTTGTATAGAAATCAACCAGCTAGCAGACATTTTTGGTCTGCCTTGTTTAAAAAAATACTTTTCTGAATATTTATGACATAGAGCTAAATGTGTTATTTGATTAAACATAAAAACCTTCCTCTGACTTGATGCCCTTCGTAGACTCAATAGTGACTGAGTGACAGTCTTGTCATGTCATGAGGGTGTGGCCAGCTATGCTGCTCAGGGTCCGGTGGATGCGGACACTGCAGAGGGCAGGGGCTACCACCCCTATCCCTTCTAGCCAGGCCTCCGCGAGACCAAGGACAAACCCAGCATCTTGCACCCACACTGTGGTCTGGGGATGCAGCTGCAGGCACGTGTTGGGGTGCTCTCTGAACCACAGGAGAATAAACGTTCTTATGTACTATAACACAGGGATGGCAGAGACCCACAGCAACATAAATAGGTTTTCTTTTAAAAACACAGACCCCCCAGCTTTCTGGAGACCCATGGGACTCTGAGACACCCATTCACTCAGTAGTTCCTGTGTCCATACCAGCCACCCACCCAGAACCCAGCCACAACCATCAGGACACCCACAAGATGGAGCCCAGGGCGAGAGGCTCTGGGAACCTAAGGCACCACCATGCCACTGACAGCACAGCACGGCCCAGGTGACCACACCAGTGTGCGCGCACACACACACACACACACACTGACCACACCAGCATGCATTTACACAACACACACTTACGCACATTGACCACGCCAGCACACATGCACTCACAACACACACACACGGACGCACACTGACCATGCCAGCACACACACTCTCACAACACACACACACACTATACCCTCAAACCAAGCCAGGTCAGTGCAGGTCACCCTGTCCCCAGCACACACAACAGCAGGGCCATAACGCATGACATTCCATGGCCAGATGCGAGCCCAAGACTGCCTCTACCGGCATCTGTCCCAATCTGTCCCCCAGTGACACAGAGCAAGCAGCTTCCTCATGACATGACATGAACCAATCAAAGGGCTGCCCTACCCCCTCACCATACCCACCCCTCCCTACCACCCCCAGCCTGAGAATCTGCACCGAGCCGCCTAGAGGCTGAGCCGTCTGCCCACAGGGTGCAGGGCAGGGGCCGCCGGCTGGCCCACCATGTGGCAGCGGCTGGCTGGCATGGAGCAGGGGGAGCTGGCTTCCAGAAGCCCCAAGGGCTGTGGCCAGACGCAGGTCACTGTATTTCCTTAACTACACACATCTATCTCCATTTAGTGGTTTCAAACAACTAAGCAGATCAGAGGCAGGGTTAGGAGGGAACATGTCAGAGATGGAAGGCGGGGCCCTCCCAGATCGGGGCTTGGTCGAGAGCGGGAAGCTGCAGCCGGGGAGGTGGCAGGGATGGAGAAAATAATAATTATTATATTAGTTAAATAATCATAATAATTTAAAAGTCACTGATATTTACTCCAAAGAGAAGTGCTCAACGTCAGAGGTCGGCAGTGTCCTCCGAGCCTGGGCACCTGCACGGCCAGGCCCTGGGAGTGCAGAACAGGCTGCGTCCTCTTCTAGTGGTTTGAGTCTCTGAAGACAGTGCTGGTGTTGGGGCAGCCTGGGCCAGGCCAGTCCCCAACGGGTGGCCCACATGGAGGCCACACGGTCACCAAGGTGCATCTGCTACCCATGCCTCAGAGGAGGTGGGGAGGGAAAGCCAATGGACTGGCATGGGGAGCCACTTCCCAGGGACTGGCGTGTTAGGGATGGGAGAAAGCTCAGAAAGCATTGGTGCAATGCTCTCGGGTCAGAGGGAGGAAGCTGAGGCCCAGGGCACAAGCAAAGAGGTTGCACACGCCAGACCAGAACCAACTCCCGCCTCTGGGTCCTGGAGAGGGGGAGACACAGGGCTTGGACAGTCAACCCAGAAGACCCCTGGCACCCTGCTCCAGCTGTACACCCCAATGTGCTAGAAAAGCCCCTCAGTGCTTGCAGGTGTAGACTCCTCACACTGCGTGCATGGCCCTCACCCTGCACAGCAGGGTTGGCCAGGCCCGGGGACTCATCCCTTGCAGGTGTAGACCTTCTCACACCATGTGCAATGCCTGCACTCTGAGCAGCGGGGCTGACTGGGCCCAGAGTCTCAGCCCCTGCAGGTGTATACTCCTCACACCATGTGAAATGCCTGTGCCATGTGCAGCAGGCCTGGCTGGGCCCAGGGATTCAGCCTTTGCAGGTGTAGGCCCATTCATGCTCTGTGCAATGCCTGCACCCCATGCAGCTGGGGCTGAGCCCAGGGACTCAGCCTATGCAGGTGTAGACCCATTCACACTGTGTGCAATGCCTGTACCCCACGCAGCTGGGCTGCTCAAGCCCAGGGACTCAGCCTCTGCAGGTGTAGACCCTTCACACCGTGTGCAATGCCTGCACCCTGTGCAGCAGGGCTGGCAGGGCCTGGGAACTCAGCCCTTGCAGGTGTAGACCTCCTCACGCTGTGTGCACTGCCTGCACTCCACATAGCAGCACCAACGCACCTGGCACTGGCAGGGCCTCGTCACCACCCGGCTCTGTGTGTTATGGCCACGGCCACAGCAGATGCTCTCGCAGTTCTTCTCACGGTGGCACCTACGGCCAGCGGTGCCCGGGGAGAAGCGGCCGGCCAGGCAGAAGCTAGGCGAGTCGTCCAGGTGCACCAGCTCTGGAGTGCGGGGTAGCGGGTCACTGCCGCCCACCCCCGAGGCACGGCCCCGTGGTGGGGAAATGGCACCTGCCTCGCCTGCCGCTTCGTTGGTGGTGCTGCCCACCTTGAGTGCTGTCTCGTACTTGTGCTTCAGGTGCTTGCCCACCTCATGGAAGGGCGCCAGCTGCCGCCAGCAGGTCCGCACCGTGCATGAGCCTGACACGCCGTGGCACTTGCAGGTGGTCTCCACCCCAGCCTTGATCACCTGGCAGGAGGGCATGGGAGGGAGGGCAGTGTGAGGGCTGTGCAGGTGGGCCCAGTGAGCAGACCCTGCCCTTGATCCCCAGAGGGACCCCGCACCCCCACCCCACCTGGGCCTAGGCTCAGGCCCAGGCCCAGCCGGCAGGCATTGCCACTGCACATCTCACATCCAGCTCACTCTCCTGGCTCATGGGGCTGTCCTACCTCCTCCGGGCTGCTGACTGCCCAGGACAGAGACTCCAGGGCTGGCACCTCAGCCCCCAGGGTGGCCACCCTTGCACCTCCACAAGGGGAGGCTCCTGCCTGATGTCCACCCTGCGTCGGGGGCTGCCCTGGGGCTGGACCTTCTGCCCCCATGCCCATAATCCCAGTCCTGCCAGGACTTCATATTTGCTGTCAGCACACAGCTCGCTGGACAGGTGAGGACAAGCGTGACCTCATCTGGTGGTGTATGTGTGAGCTGACCGTGACCTCCCTACCCCTAGTATCGGGAACCAGGTGCTACTGCACATGCAGATGCGACCCCCAGCCCACCGTTGCTGAGGGTCAGCATGCTGGGAGGCCAGTGAAGGCACCGCAGGAGCAGGGAGGCCCACGCTGCGGGGGAGAGGGGCTCCTGGGGAAGAGAGAGCTCTTTATACCGTGAGAGAGAGTCCAGGCTGGCCCCAGAGCGGGATGCACCCCTCACCCACAGCAGGGAGGGCCAGGCACCTACAATCTATACTGGGAGCTGCCACAGAAGCCTGGCTGGGCCTGTCCCCTCCCAGGACTTAGGCCCCCACCTGCAAAGACAGGCCTGGTGGGGAGGTCCCTTCCCAGGTGGGACCTGAGCCAGGCGGCTCTGCTCCCACGCCAGCAGCCCCCAGGGGGGCCGGCTCAAGGAGGATTAAGAAATCCAGCCACCTCTGGCCTGGCAACCATAGTCACATTTAATGATGTTTTGCAGAGAAACCCGGACCAATTTAATTAAAATGTTGGTGACCCAGGCTCTGTGGAGCTAATGGAGCACCCTTCATGTTCCGACTTCTCATTAATCTCTTACAAAGCGGTGAAGAGGGAAAGGAGGGGGTCATACACAAAGGAAAAGAAACGGCCTTGCTTGGGGCTTGAATCTGCCTTCAAAGGCTCTCCCCTGCCCAAGAAGGTGGAAGGAGGCACAAGAGGCCCAAACAGGGGAGGCTGATCCTTCAGTAAATGGGTGATTGGGTATTCTGACTTCTCAATCAAGTGGGGCTCAGAGCAGGGCTGGCTCTCATTACCTCACCCCTCCCCAGGCTGGGGCTCTATCTTCCCAGCCTGCCTGGCAAATGTGAAGATGAGGGCAGGAGGCAGAAATGTCCCTCAGCTTCCAACAGAGGTGTCAACCCTGCCCATCCCTGTTCAGGAACTGCAGAGATGCTGGGGGCTCTGTGCAGAGTGGGGTTACAGGTCCAGCCTGGACTCCCCCAGACATGTGGACCTGGGCACTGACAGGCTGCAGGTGGCATGAAGGATGACCAGAGAGCTGGGGTCACCCCCGGCCAGCTACCCCAACAGCCAGTGGCCCCTGGAAGGGCTCAGGAGAGAGCCCTTTTACCTCGAAGTCTTTAGGTCGGGATTCTGTCTCTCAGAATAGAGGCCTGGCCACAGAGAGGGCTGGTGGGGCAGAATGAGACTCCCCTGACTCGGGTGAGTGGGTTCCATACCCCTAACCCTTCCCTGGGACCCCCTGCCCACCATGCGTCCCACCTTGGTCTGTGGGGGTTTTCCTCCCACCAGTTTTGCTGACAAGCCTGCCAGCTGGCTGACAGGTGGGGCCCACAGTGCCATGATACTGGTTAGACCGCCTAACCAAGGAGACCCTCCTGGTGGCCCCACAGGGACCGTGGGGGCCCCTCTGCAGGCAAACATGGCTAGTGCCCCGTTTGGTGGGTAGAGAGCCTTATGGGCATGAGAGTTTCCAGGACCATGGCCGGCACTGCACGGCCTCCACCCTCCCGCCGGAGGCCACTCCACTGTGTGCCTGCCCGCCCTGCTGCAGCCCCGACCCCAGCCCTGCACCCCACCCCTACCCCCCTGAGGCTCTTTCTGGCCCTCCTTCCCACCCCGCCAGTCCCATGCCCCGCCCCACTTACCTTCACACCCACGAGGTTGTTGTGGAAGTCCACACGGGCTCGCAGATCCTTGCTTGACCGTCTGCCCAGGAACTCCTTGACGAACTTGCTGCTGTACTTGAGGTTGTCTCCGCAGCCCCCCCACTGCCAGGCCTCACGGTTCTCCAGGTCGGGCGCCTCATCGCAGGTACAGCGCTCCATGCGGCCCGCGCTGCATGCCTTGGCCAGTGCGTGCGTCAGGCCAGCCGAGGAGATGGCATAGAGGAAGGCAGTCTCCTTGAAGCCTGGGATTGGCAAGGGCTGGTCAGTGAGCCCAGGCTGCCCAGAGTTCCCCCTTCACTGTCCTGCAGTCAAACCACCCCAAGAGTATGAATCCCATGTGGGGGCCCAGAGCATCTTTACTGGTGCTGCACTCGGGACAGGGTGTGGGTATGCCCTGGGCACCACAGGGTAGGAAGCGCCCAGGTGTCCCCCAGGCGCAGAGCTGGCTGGGAGGAGAAACCAGAGCCCGTCATGGCCATGGCTCCCGCTCCGTGGTCACAGTCTCCATCAGGGTCTCAAACCTCCCAGCCTCACCATGGGGCCACTGGAAAGTCCTGCCTGCCCTAGGCCTTGGGTCCCCAATTTTTACACAAGCTAGTGCAGTACGGTGGCACACGGCTGCAGCCCCAGCTACTCCAGAAGCTGAAGTGAGAGGGTTGCTGAAATAGGCGGTGGAGAGCCCCTGGGAGGGCGCAGGAGGAGGCCGAGGTGGGAGGGTGGCTGAAATAAGGTGGTGGAGAGCCCTCATGAGGGTGGGAAGGCAGGAGGAGAGTCTGCACAGGCAGAGCCCCCTGGGCACTGGGCCATCTGGCAGGAGCCGAGGGCTGTCGGGACAGCACCGGGCAGCCTAGGGCCCCGTCAAAGGCGGAGTCAGCACACCCTGGCCACCAGCAACGACTGTGCCTGTGCCAAAAGCAGGGCAGGGCAGGCAGCACTCAGGGAGGTCCAGGGGCTGCCCTTTCCAGGGCCTAGGCCCAGGAGCTCTGGGCAGGCTGGGCCCAGTGTCCCCAGGAGTGCAGCCTGAGAGGGGCCTCTTGGGACATGGACCAGGCCTGGGCTGCTGCCTCTGCCTGGGGCCTTCCTGAGGGCCAGGCCGGCCACACTCACCTCGCTTGAGCAGGCTGGCCCGGTAGCGGCCCTCCAGCGTGCAGTTCCAGCGCTCAAAGCGGAATTGGAACTGGCACTCAAGCGCACTCATGCTCACGGCCTCCACCAGCGTCTCTGCCACACCCGGGTCCCGGCGGCACATGCGCCGCTGCTTCCGCTCCAGCTTCAGCCGGTCGCAGGCCTTGTAGTGCGCCTGGGCGGCCGCCTCGGGCTCCAGGGTCAGCGGGAGGACGGTCAGGGGCTCGCTGCCCGTCAGCCTGGGCACAGAGAGGCCAGTGTGAGCCCAGCGCCAGGAAGCCCTGCTGGAGCCTGGCCAGGTGTCTCGGTGGCCAGGGGACAGGGGACAGGCATGTCCATCCGGGGGTGAGAGGGGCAGAAAGAATCCAGGATGAGCAGGCAGGGGAGGAGGAGGTGAGAAGGGCCTTGGCCCCCTGCACATCCATGGCCCCCACTCCAGCGAGCATGGTCGCAGCAACCACAGGGCTGTCTCTGCTGCCAACTCAACCCCCACAGTTTCAGGGAGTCTAGCTGACTCTAGCTATGCTGGACAGACAAGACCTTCACAACACACACAACATACGAAAGAGGACAGCCCCGCCTAGTGCTGTGGGCAGGGAGGAGGCTCCGGAGCCTGAACCCCAAGCTATGCCTGATGGGCATCTGCCACACCCTCCACCCTCTTCGGCCCCAGCTGACCTGCAGGACCCCGCCTGAGGTCCCCCTACCCTCTGCCATGACCTGCTGGGATGTCTACGGTCCTGTGGCCCCCTGCAGCTTCCCAGCACTCCTGCAGTCTATGCATATGTCCCCAGGTTCTGGTTGGGGTCTCCCCACCTCAATGCCTGGGTGTTGCACTGGGAAGTGGCTCTTGGTTCTCTGACACTCTACCCTTCTCACCTCACCAAGCCTGGACATCCTCCTTTGCAGGACAGATCCCAGCTAACCCCTCCCCATAGGTCACCCCTGGGGGCCTCTGAGCTGACACACACCATCCTCCATCTTTACACGAGGCCTTGCACCAGCCCCCAGCACTGAGGATGCATCCCCAACCTCAACTGCTCCAGGAACCCGGCTCCACCCTATTGGATGCCCCCTCCCCGCAGCCCGCTGCTGGCTCACCTGCTGCTGCTGCTGCTGCTGCTGCTGCTGCTGCTGCTGCTGGACTCACTTCACAGGGCTTCCCTCACACCCCGCCCTGGCCCAGCCCACATGGAGCCAAGGCCTTTCCGTCCTCAACCTCAAACCCTGACCCCGCCCCCATGTCACCTGTCTATCCTGGGACTGACCGAGCATGCTCTGCAGCTGTGTCAGACCTGCCAGCCCAGTGTCCCCACACGGGTGGACTGTCAGGGGCCCCAGGCACCGCCACCTCAAGCCAGACTCAGCCCCACAGCCCTTGGGAGGGCACCTGCCTGGACAGGGCCAGGGCTCAGAGGCCCCTCCCGAGAGCACCACTGGACACATGCTGCCCAACTCACCCCCAGCAGACCTCAGCAGAGAACAGTAGACTCAGTACGTTCTGGGAGCTACCGGGGTGCCAGCTTGGGAAGGCTCCCCCTACACCCTCGCATGGCCCTGCTAGGCCCCACCACCCACCCAGAGGGAGTAGCTCCTGCCCAGGGGTGTGGAGGGGAGGGGCCCAAGAGGCTCCCTAGCACATCCCATCAAAGGCAAGGCCACACAGCTGACCCCTAGGCTACTGAAAGGCACCTGCCTCCAGGGCCACAGGCGCAGGCCACAGAGGGAGCAGGTAGAGGCCCCAGGAAGGACCCCACAGCCCCTCCACAGGAGCCACCCGCCTGGTGGGCGTGCTGAGATACCCTGCCCGGCCAAGCTGACGTCCTGCTCCCTAAGCTGGGGTCTGCTCCTCCAGGATGCTCAGAGCCAGCCCGAGCCCCCGTGAGCCCTCTGAGTTGAGCCAGAGTTGCAGGCAGCAGGACCTGCAACAGCCCCCCCACCAGTCAGTGAGCCACCAAGGGGCGCCACGGGGGGGGTCTTCACTTGGGGAGGCCATGCCTGGGATTCAAGACACACACCCATGTGCCAGGCTGCCAGGGAGTGGGTAGAGGAGGACCCCAAGGGCCCTTCTAGCAAATCCCCAAGGTCCCTGAGGCACAGGTCCCGTGCAGCACAACAGGCCCCACAGGGAGGACAGGAGGGACCAGTCAGTCCTCCAAACCTGGACACTGCTGTGGGCTGAGGCTGGGAGACGCCTGGGTGAGGGAAGGAAGTGCAGTGTACACAGGTCCCCTCAGATGCCCTAGGGGTCAGGACAGGAGCACGGGGTGGCACTGTGGGCATCCATGCACAGACACCTCCAAGCCCCAGGGCCAGAGATGGGATATCCCAGGACAGCTGGGCACATAGAGCAGGACTAGGGCGGGGGGCAGGCTGGGGAGCAGGGCCAGGAAAGCCACACCTCACACACAAGGGCAGCTCGCAGGTGGAGACCTCCATCCCTAGATGGAACGACACAGCTGTGACCAGAACAGCCCTCAGGAGGACAACAGCCTTCCACCTGTGCCTCCCCCCAGGCCTGGACCCGTCAGGACCCAAGAGCCCCAAGCCACTGTCCCAGAAAACCCCTATAGCCAGGTCAGCATGGGCCCTCCACAAGCTGCAAAACCCAACTGTGGGTGTGGACAGGGGACAGGGAAAGGGGAGAGGGAGGGCACTAAGAAGAGGTGGGGGAGGGGAAAAGCAGAGGGGAGGAGAAGGAGGGGAGGAGGGTAGTGGATGAAGACAGGAGGGTGAAGGGAAGAGGGCAGGGGAGGAGGGGGAGGGGGCCCCATCTACCAGAGCCACCCCTCCCTCCCTGTCAATGGTGACTGAGGATATCAGTCTGCCCTGCCCCCTCCCTGTGGCCCACCACCTGGCCCACACTGGTCATGCTGGGGCACTGACAGCTGGTTTGACAGTGACAAGCTGAGTCCTCCAGCCTTCTCTAGGGCACTCCTGGAGCAGGCAGACAGCAGGGCAGCAAGTGTGGCTGCACCTGGAGACTCGCTGGGCAGCCCCAGGACACCCCTCTATCAGAGGCAACTCCCTAAACGCAGCTGCAGGTAACTGACCCTGATCCAAGGACAGGCAGGGTGGGCAGGGTGGGCCATCAGCACCGGCAGAAGGGTGTGGAGGGAGGGTGGCCCCAGCCCAGGAGTGGCAAGGGATGGCCTGAGGCCCAAGGGCTACGCCCTTCCCTGGAGTAGTCACTGAATTCTGTGCTGCTCTGGCCATGGCCTTCTTAAGCTCCTGCCCCCTCACCTCTCCGACCCTTGGTGACCCCTGCCCCATGCCTCCTTCATTGTCAGGGTGGGCTCCACATGCAGCCAACTGAAGGGATTCACAGCGCCAGGGGATAAAGATCTGAGGATAAACAGGCAGACCACAGGCACCACAGGGCATGCTGGGGAACGGGGCAGGCGATCTCAGGGCCTGGGCCCAGCAGAGGAGGCCCAGACCCTCCTGACAGGCAGGGCTCTCTGTCTGCCACACGACAGAGCCACAGAAGGGCTGAAGAAGGGAGGAGTGGTTCCCAACACAACCTCAGAACAGAGAAGCTTTCTTCCGTGAGACTCAGAACCCAGAAGTCACCGAAAAGTGAATATATTTGACTACTTAAAAGTATAAAAATCTCTGCATAGCAAAAAACAAAAAAGAGGCAGCGCAGAGTCCAGAGACCAAGAGACAAATTACATCTGGGGCAAATGCCTGCAACTCACACCCCAGACCAGGGGCCAGCGCTGTACACGTATGTGTGTCTGGATGCATATCTCTTCCTATAAACCAATAACAAAGGAACCGACTGAAGACAGACAAAGGGTATAAACCCACAGGCCAAGGGAAGGAAACCAACTGGCTCTTCAAACCCACGAGCCAACACTCAGCCCCACTCCAAGACATTCTCTGCCTGCTGTCCCAGCTGCTCCAGAGACCATGACGGGAGAGTTGTTTGAGCCCAAGAACTGGAGACCAGCCCAGGCAATATAGCAAGACCCCATCTCAAGAAATAAAACTATATTGATACATTATGCTTCGTTAATTAATAAGCACAAATCAAATGTCCGATGAGAATATTGTCAAGGACACGGGAAGACACTCTTCCATGGCTGGAATTCCAGACTGACATATCTAGGAAACTTTAAAAATAAACCACTGCAGTGGTCTGAATATTTGTGTCTTCTCCAAATTCATATGGTCAAACCTAACACCATCAAAGTGGTAGCATTAGGAGCTGGGACCTCTGGAAAGTGATTAGGTGATGAACAGGATTAGTGTCCTTATGGACCCCAGGCTGGGTGCAGTGGTTCATGCATGTAAACCCAGTACTTTGGGAGGCCAAGACGGGAGGATCATTTGAGGTCAGGAGCTCAAGAGCAGCCTGGGCAACATAGTGAGACCTGGTCTCTATAAAATATTTAAAAATTAGCCAGGTGCAGTGGTGCATGCCTGTGGTTCCAACTACTCAGGAGGCTGTGGCGGGGGGAACACTTGAGCCTGGGAGGTCAAGGCTGCAGTGAGCTGTGGTTAAAATAATAATAAAATAAAATATAAATAAATAAAAGGGACCCTGGAGAGACCCTTGCCTCTTCTGCCATGTGAGGACATGGTGAGAAGGCATTGTCTATGAAACAGGAAGTGCCCTCACCAGACACAGAATCTGCCACACCTTGACCTTGGCCTTCCAGCCTCCAGAGCTGTGAGCAGCATACTTCTGTGTTTTACAAGCTCCCAGGCTGTGGTGTTTTGCCGTAGCAGCCTGCGTAAACTAGGATGCCCTACAATTACAGACATAATCACATCTTTCTGGAAGCACAGACTGCACATGCATTGTACCTTCCCGGCATGCCATTCAACATAGCCTTGTTATAGGAACGTGCTGGAGACAGCAGGAGAGCAGCTGGGAACGTCAGATCCACACGCTCCGTGGCATGTCACATGGTCCGTGAGCAGCCAGCCGTCCCATGTGAATCCATGCCAAGTTACGCCCCAGGTGTGCTCAGTGGACAAGCAGAGCCCAGCAGTGGGTGGATAAGCTCAGCAAGGGCTGCATGTGCGGGCGCGTGTTTGTGGCTGACCGGACCAAGCAAAGACCCAAAGATGGAGGAAGCGTGTTCTTCCCCACAGAGCTGTGAGTTGTGCCGGCACACAGATGGCCTTTCCAGAATCCATAGAACTCACTCCACACTCAGCAAATGGCACAGGCCCGGGAGGTGGGGGCTGCAGTGAGCCACAGACACACCACCACACACCAGCCTGGGTGACAGAGTGAGACCATCTAAAAACAAACTAACAAAAAAACCAGCCTGCATCACCCTGGTTTATATAAAGGTGGCAGCAGCTATCCTGGTCTTGTTCTTCATCTTCAGAGGAATGCCTTTAACATTTCAGCATGAAGCCTGACGCCCAAACACCGTTTCAGGCCACAGGGGCACCCTTTGGTTCTCAGTTGGCTAAGAACCTCTAA